CGAAAACAGCACCTTAGTTTTCTTCTGGCGAAGGCAGCGGTCTGGAATAATCGGCCGTTTTGTCCTCAAATCTTTTAGGGCTGCCACATTTCAGGAGCCATGGGAACATGAGACACAGAAGTACCCTCCAAGAGCCAAGGTTGTCCCTGGGGGTGCAAACTGGGGTGACCGCCCCAACAGATTGGGCTGTTGCTGCCTCTCAAGCAAGTAGAAGAGCTGTACCCCAGGAGCTCCAGACAGCTGTGCTGGGGCTGCAGAAACTCTCCAACGTGAATGCAATGCCAGCTCATTCCACCCTCACCTTTCCGAAAGCCCTTTAAAGGCAGTTAAAAGTGCAAAGTTGCTTTATGCCTGCCACTTTCGTGTTGCCAAGCTGAGTGTGCAAAAGCAAACCCCGATGATTTCACTTGCATAAAACCATTCAGGTTTGGACCACAATCAGTCCCGTATGGAACCAAACACTGTTTTTTTCCCCTTATATCCAGGTTAGTTATGGCATCTAATATTACTGAGAGTAAAAGTAACCCTTTCTTATCAGCCAATTTACCTACTTGATAACTGTAGTGGCTGCACCATTCCCTCCGAATAGTTCCTTCTTTGTCAGTCTAACAGAAAGGGATTAAGAGAGTAGTGCGACTATAAAACCACAAATGGGGAATGCAACTAAGGGACACAAGTCAGACCTGATAATACTGTGTGCCTTTATTAAAAGGGCTCACAGCTCTCTGGGGTGCTGGCTTCTGCCAAATGACTGTAAAATACAAGCCTGAATAAACCAATCACCAGGGACCGTGGTTCTCTCCGTTTTAAAAAAATCCTCAATTTTCAGTTAAAAGAAAGTAACTCCAAATCCACATTTTTCCATGATTAAAATGAACCATCACTATCTATCTATGTATTGATATCAATATCTAGTGATGTTTCATTTTAATCATGGAAAAATGTGGATTTGTAGTTACTTTTTTTAACCTAAAATTAGGGATTTTTTTTTTTTTTTTAATCAGAGAAAACCAGGATCCTGCTGATCACCCCTTGCTCACAAGCCTGTACCAGAACAAAATGCAACCAATTCTAAGCAGTGATTCTGAACAAGGGTGTCATGGCACCGAGGGGTGCCTTGAGGTTCTTTCAAGGGTGCCATGGGGTGCTAACACAATGTTAGCACTGGCAGGTGTGCAAACATGATTCGCAAGACAATCCGAGACTGCAAATAGCAGTCTACAGCGTTAAAGTTATTCTGATGTGTTCTAGCCTTTCCAAGCTCTTTGCAAAGGAAGAACTGCACTGTTATTTTGTTGTAGTCAAAGATAGAGTGAAAACTTAAGAGCTGACATTTTCCAAGGGGAGCCTTGAGTCCAAAATGGTTGAGAACCACTGTTCTAATGGTTTAGTTGTCCTACAGATGTAAAAATAATGGTGTACATCAGGGATAACTCCTTTAACAGGACAAAGATAATTACTTTCTGACCCACCTGTCATTTTACACAATGTGTTTTCTGGACAAAATGCCACAAGAAAACCTTAGAAGCTTCCAACTTACTAAAAAATGCAGGTCTTGCAGGCACGTCAACTGTTACACCTTTTTGCCTTTATCGAAATGAATGTACAGTCTGCCCCCACTAATCACAAGACTAACAACATTATGACTAATTCTTGCAACATGCAATCATTTTGATGTGGGCAAGCAAACTTCAGTCCTGACTTCTCCAAGCACACAGACAACCCCAAAAATTAGTCTGGTTAATGCAGCAGACTCCTGTCTGCAAATATGTATTTATTGACACTGGGTAGCAGGAGAATAATGGGATTCTTGAGAGAGCAGATGGGAGAAACTGGGTTTCAGAAAACAAGATCTTTTGGAAGAGATCTGAGAAGGACGAAAAGTTGAAAATTGACACCAAATAATTTTGGAGAGCAACTTTTAGAGAAGGTTGAACAAGTCGATCTATGCTGAAACTTCATTTTTTTTATAGCGACAGCTACACAGGCACTCAAAAATAGTATCGTGGACCTAGCCCCACAGCCTACCTGGCTTGGAGGTTATGCTGTAGATCCTGAAGTTGATCCATTTGTTGTACACGATCAGATTACCAACACTTACTAGCACAGCCGTAATAAAGACTGCTCAAGAGAGTAATTGGATGGATCTCTCTCTCTCAGGTAAGGTCACTCCTGGGTTAAAGAAGACTAGAAGGATAATACGAGTCTGTGTTTCTGTATAAAAGAGTCAGACTTCGCTTATTTGAGGCTTTCTAAGCATTTTAGAAGCCGTGCATTAACCCTCAAATACATCAGGAAAATAGCTATATATCAGATCCACTGTAGAGATTTGGAGGGGGTGAGGGGAGGGAAACATAGAAGAGAGGTTATATCCCAAATTTTCAAAATATCTATCAGCTGCGAGTGCATGATTCAAAACATGAAGAATCCCTCCCCACCCACCCCCCCAAAAAAATTCAGACTCAAAGCCAGTTATAACAATGAAAACTAGACTTTGGAAAGTTCAGTTCCAAGGATCTCAAGCTGGAAGCCCAGAAACTGAGCAACACAAAGCTAAAAGTGAGAAGTTATTGTAAAAGTGAGCTCCTCAAGAGCACAGAACAAAGTTAGAGACGGAGGTAGGGACAGGTCCCAGAAGTGCACGCTCCAAGTGCTCTTTCCGACCGGCAGACAACACGTCCTTGCTTTGAAATATTGTTCTGCAAGTCTACGATATCTTTCAAAGATAAGCTCCTGGACAGCAAACTGCATGTACATGAAGCCTTAGAGCAGCCAGAAAAGTTGAATTTCTGACTGTTTCCCATTTTTAACCCAAAGGCACACAAATCCTGGAAAAGAAATGGCTACAAATGGTAGAAGTGCAGGGGGAAACGAGCCTATTTCATAATATGGAATGAATGGACCCCCCAAACTGACTACTTCCCAAATCATTATAAGATAGCTTGGTCACCAACCTGCTTCACTTTACAGTCCTCTACCTCAAATTAGGACACCCTAAGGTGAACTCCAATGACTTCCCCAAACCTCCTACTCAAGATGTATGCACAACAGTATGGTATTTTCCATCGAATCACAGGCCTGGCCCCTTGGAGGGTTGGCTGGGATGCTGTAGCAGCAATATAGATGTTTCGGTACGTATTTGCTGAGTGCAGATGTGTTCCTTCAACTCTCAGTTGCAGGCAAGTTTATCTAGCTTTCTATTCCACTTCCGGCTGTTAGAAAGGTCTCTTTCTGTTCCTGAAGTAACACACTTTTCACAAACTTTGGAAACTGAGAACAGGAAAGCACCACTTCAGATGATTGCCTATTTTCACCGAGTCGGCCGTAAAGCTGGATTTTTCTGACAGCTGTGGATGGAAAGCTATGTAGCCCAAAAAACATTTACTTGATTTGGTCAATATAAAAACGGGACAAAGACAAGTTGTCTGTGGATTCTGTTGGGTCACATACTTCATGGGGAAAAAGAAGAAAAAAAAAATCACTTTTCTATTCCTCCAACTTTCATCTGATTTGGTTCCAGTTGAGCCTGTCAGCTCAATATTTGGGTCTTTGGCTTATTTAAATTGGGAGGAGAGCTAAAATTTCCTCCTTCAAAAGAGATCCACCTGGGAGTCCCAGTGTGAAAGTCTGACCTTTGATCCCCACTGCGTGAGCTGACTCAGTTCAGGGAACGGAAAGCATTTCCACCACACGGTTGGGTTACCCACCCACAGCTGGCATTTTAAAATATGTGCTCCAAACCCACTGTCAGTGGTTTTCCAACAACAGTTGAGACCAATTTCCAGAACAGATTTCATGGGTCTTGTGGCCAAGCACACAACTGGAGTCAGGAACTCAATAATATGGGTTTTAAACTGTCTGTACCAAACTTCCTGTTTGACTTGGGCAGGTCATTAAGTCAACCCGGTTTCTACTGAAGTCAATAAAAGATCATTTGGCCTTCAATATATTCTGGTTCATATTTCTACACATCACTTACGGCTCGAGAAATTTGCTTAAGGGATAGAACCACCAAAATAACTGAGCACCTATGATTTCAGTGCCAAAAGGCCCAAGTATTTATTGAACATTTGGTATAAATTTCTGCAATTTTAAGTAATAACAATGAATGTATGCACCATAGCTTTAATCAGCCAACCCACCCTCCCTTTCAGCTCACCCTTTCACTATATTTTGTTCTCCTCTCCCCTTTTTCTGCTGAGGGCAAGCAACAGTCTATATCTTAGGCTCCAGGCACCCTGAACTTTGTGGCAGCCCATTTCAAAAACAGCTTTATTTATTACAGTGCCTACCACCTTGCAAAGTGGCCAGGCAGGGGGAGAAAGAAAATACCACCTTGCATAGAAGCCAAGAAGGGCTGAGTGAGTGCTTACCCTTTCCCACCCTTTAGCAACTTGACAAGGATGTCGCAGCATCCCCACCATTGCTGGTCTATATAAACTGGTTGCCCTAGTCAGCCCCATTGATTTATATAAACTGGTCGCCCCAGTTTAAGCATCTCTAATGCAACTAATCTCTCCATACCTAGGTCCCTACTGCGCCTCTAGATCTCTCCAACATGCCAGCATTTCCCTTCCTTTACTGACAAGACACAAGCACAGAGATATGAGAACAGGTCCATGAAAGCTTCATTCTTGTAAAAATGACAAAGAGCTAGTTCTGTGCTCAGAAAACAGCTGTCGTGTCTAAACCTCTGAATTCCCAGAATACCATGTATGAAGAAGACCTGACGAAAAGATTTACCAACTAATGGCATGGTGTATTCCCTGTCCTTTTCCAACGAACGTTTGACCAAGCCTTCACTCCAGCACGAGGCTAGCATTAAGTAATGGTTAATCACATATAGCTCTCAAAGTAACTTCCCAAGATAGATGCATATTAACAACATCATTGGACAGAACAAGGTAACGAAAATGAGTTTCCAAACCCCACATGAGAACTTAACCATTATGCTCATATCTAGTTTGCCAGACAACTGCGTCTGAGTTTAAATGTCTTACCTGGCATCTCCTTTTGAAAGGTTGGTGTTTGCTGGGTGAAGAATAACCTTGTTCGCCTCCACATCCACCACGCATTTTGTATGCAGATCAAGCTCTATGAAGAAATGAGAAAGTGTTAAATGCTATTCCAAAGGTCCATATTTCATACACCCATGTTTCCAGTAGCCACCAAGTTCATCCTGTTTGGCCAGACAGTAAAGGCAGGACTATTGCAAACATCCCTTTCGGAGATATTCTAATGGGATGAACTTAGCCAACTTTGAAAGCATTCATTAACTGCAAAACAGAAAGCAGCATTTGGGTCTTACCAACAAGGATACTGAGATTTCTTTTAGGGAAGTAACCATGTGCGTAGTACCACTTTAGCAGCTCCTCTTGTCATAGTCACAGCAGCTTGCACCTGTTGGAGGGGCAAACTGACCCAAATGCTTGAGCTAAGTTTCCAACCTAAATTTCCCATGCTGCAGTCAAGGCCATGGCTCCTAGTCCTATGGTCACACAGAAAAGCCCATCTCCATTCTCTCTGTAATTGCCCTTCAGGTATTTGAAGACTGTTATCAAATACTCAACCCCCATCAGGCTTCTCTTCTCCAGACCATTTCTTCCTAATTTTCTCCCTGCGTGCCCAGGTGATACTCTTATATTCTTCCCTAGTACTGTGACCAAGTTTTGACTTTTTATAGGAGTCCCTTCTTATTTCAACTCATTGAGGAGACTGCTGTCGAGCCAGGCAGGTCTCCTGTTGCACTTCCCGTTCTTCAGTCATGTTGGGATAGTTTGCTCCTGCATCCTTAAAAGGGCCTCCTTAAAGCAGAGGGAGAATGAGTTTGCCATGATGTTCCCTTGGGAATACGCACTCGAGCACCAGTGCTCAAAAAGTCATTTCTTTAGATGGGGTCAGTGGCTCAGGTACTACGATACCAAGGGCTGCAATAAAAAGCATCCTCCTAATATATATATGCCAAAAATACTTAAGTGAGTCAAAATGTGCTCACACCGAAGCTGAATAACCATTATTCATCATCAGCCTTGCCTTTCCTCCCATCCCTGATTGCTGTCTTTGCTCAAACTAAGCTCATAAGCAAGGATTTGCATTTCAAGTTGTGACGCACACAGCGCGCTTTGATGCGAAAGAAACATGTTTCCATGTATGTGAAGATTTTATTTTATTTTACATGTAGTTCATATAAATGTCTGAACAAGTGACCTAGGCTTGCACATCAACATATGACTGAGCATAAAGAGACAGAAAGAGCGCCTCAATTCAAAAGTGTTGGGATTAGCTTTTGTTGGCTTGCAGAAGGCTGACTGCAATTAGTCTAGTGTGACCCAATCATATAATTGTTCCTTTCTAACGCATGGTACAAGAGCACCATTCAAGGCTGCAGTTTTGTGCAGAACAGCCTTTAGCTAGGCAAATTGCAGAAGTGTTTCTAATATTAATTTCTCTCCTACACATCCAATCACCTTTTACTATGCCATGCCTTCCTGCTTAAAAGAGTTTATATTCTTTATGTTCTCCAGATTTGACAAGCTGAACTATCTTGATTTGGGAGGTAAGTAATTCAACATCCTCAACTTTTGATAACCAGGGCATTTCTTAAAACTATAAAAAAAATGACATAGCTCCAAATCTTTCAGTCTCCTCTGTGCTGTACGTGAGCAAACACTTAACTTCCAGCACCTGCTATTAAAGACCTGTGCCGTGTCTGAGGCTTTGCACTGGCTCATAGTCTTGGCAGTATCTGTACAGATCTCTTTGGGAAGTACATTCAGTGGGTATTCAGGTTGGGGTGATATGATCCCCGCACCCGTTCCTGCCCGGGGCAGGGGGTTGGACCTGATGATCTGTTTAGGTCTCTTCTGACCCTAAGTACTATGATGAGAAATAAGGAAGGAAAAAAAATCCTAAAGTAGGTTAACAAATATATAGTACGCTCTCCTCTCCTGACTGTCGCTACATTATCAAGGCGGACGAGGTTCTTTGGGTAAATCTGACATCTTTTATTAGACCAACTCAAATAGTTGGAAAAATTCTTCTTAGCAAGCTTCTGGATATAAATACCCTTTCAAAATACCTGGTGACACGACATTTTGCAGGCATTGTTGCTGTCTTGTTTTGCTGCCTACCACGTAGTGGTTCCTCATCTTTTTACCTACTGAATGGGGAACAGGGGCAGATCCAGAGGTGGGCAGTGGTGGGGCCTCACCCTCCTTCTGACCATCCAGGAGCAGCAGCAAAAAGGGACTTTAAGTGTTCAAAGAAAGTAATAATCCCCCCGCTCAGAAGCATCTCCATTCCCCTCTTCTTTCCTGCTGTCCTGCTCCAACTGAGTTGTAGGGCTGGGCTCAGGCTGGGACAGCAGTGGCAGGTGTCCCTTGCCAGCCCGGGAGCAGATACAGGGAGGGGAAACCCTTTCACCCGCCACTGCCACCACCACCCAAGGCTGAGCCCAGCCCCAGCAAGGTCCAACTGGAGCTCCCTAGATCCTGGGACACCAGGGGCCATGCGGGGAAGACAGATGGGAACATGCTTCTCAGCAAGGAGGGGAAGGGATCTTACCTGCTTTGGTAAAAGGGGGGAATCCCACCTTATAAATACGCTACACACATGAACTCTGCTTGGGGCGCAGTAGATAAAAGCACCAGTCCTCTGCTAGACTTCGGCTCCCATTCAGCACTTCAGCCAGCTCTAGTTAGTCAAAGAGAAATCCTTTTTTTCAAGGTTTTCAAGAGGCCACTACCACAACATCCAAATGCCGGAGGTAAAAGAAACTCTTAAAAGTTTTATTGGCAAATGATCTTGATGATATCCTGCTATACGCGGTCCACCCTCGGTTTTTACTTGTTTGAATGTGTTGTTAACAACGCAACTTCCAAACACACCCACGAGAACAACACGTCCGTGGATCAAGGTCAAGAGGTATGCACCTATCCCTTAAATGCTGGGAATTCGAGCTTTCAGTGAGATTTGTATAGTTTCAGGTTGCATTATTATGGTCCTTTGGTTCAACAACAAGTCTTTGTATGGACATATTCAAGATTTTAAGGTTTCCTCTACTGAGGAGAGTTAGGCCACGGACAAGACAGCCACAGCGAAATAATTGTAACAACAGCATTTGAATAAGGATTGCTGAGGTTTGGCATGAATCCTAGGAGTCCAGGATTTCATCAGCAGATCTGAATAAAGTTTCCTTTAGGTCTCATTTACAAAACACCCCCTATGATTATTGCTAACCTGCTCTTGCTTTTCCTTACACCCTCAATCTATCATTAATTACACTGCAACAGTAGAAAAACAAGGATTGCATTTCTTTCTAGATGGAAATGTGTAACTCTAAACGGTGATGTATACCACGAGGAATAGAGGCTTTTCCAAACAAAGTTACTTAATGGGAAGAAAACCATAGATGCAATGTCACTGTTTAAAAAATCCATTAAGCAAAGGTGTGAGCTCTCACTGTTTCAACCACAAGCCTTATGCTGTTTGGTATCTTGCCTAAAATCCCAGCACCAGGAGCCACGAAATTACATGGAACTCAATTTTCATCATAAAGTGTCTAACCTTCATAGATGTGGGAAATGGGGAAGAAAGGGGAATTTGAATATGTCACCTCATTCACTGCAAAGGCTCAGCCACCAGAATGCAAAAAAGACACTTTAACAAAAAGGTCTTACTTTTGAAGCCAAATTTAGGATTATTTTTTGAAGCCTGAGTTAACAAAAAAGCTTGATGCCATTAAGTCTACTTGAACCAGACACAGCATTGCAGACAGAAGCACAATCAACTATTTGGTTGCTTCAGTGATAAGAGAATACTACCAGGAGATAGTAATCAGCTGACTACTTTTGGAAAAATATAGTCTCAAATTCTTGCCATCTTAGGAAACACTGCAAGAAATTAAAGCCTTTTCCAAAGGGCGCGCGCGCGCGCACGCACGCACGCACGCACGCACGCACGCACGCACGCACGCACAGAGTAAGGGGCTTGGGATATCTTTATTCCAAAGACAAAAATAGAGAGACAAGCCACCTCTTAACCAACTCCCCAAGTTTTACTTTTTGGAGTTGTAAAGGCACTTAAAAAAGCTGCACGTGAAAGATAATTTTGCATAGATTCATAGAAAATGAGGGTTGAAGGGACCTCAAGAAGTCACATCTAGTCCAACCTCCTGTTCAAAGCAGGAGAAGCCCCAGCTAGATCATCCCAGCCAAGGCTTTGTCTACCTGGGTCTTCAAAACTTCCAAGGATGGAGAGTCCTCCACCTCTCAGGCTAACCCATTTCAGTGTTTCACCACCCTCCTTGTGAAAGTTTTTCCTAATATCCAACCTCAACTTCCCTTGCTGCAACTTGAGCCCATTGCTCCTTGTTCAGTCATCTGCCCCCACTGAGAACAGCCCAGCTCCATCCTCTTTGCAGCCCCCCTGCAGGGAGGTGAAGGCTGCTATTCAATCCCCCTCGGTCTTCTCTTCTCCAGGCTAAATCAGCCCAGTTCCCTCAGCCTCTCCTCACCAGTCATGCCCCCAGATCCCCTTGCAACCATTTTTGTCACCCTCCACTGGACTTTCTCCAATGTGCCCACATCCTTTCTGTAGCAGGGGGCCCACACCTGGACACAGGACTCCAGATGTGGCCTCCCCAGTGCCGAACAGAGGAGAAGAATCACTGCCATTGATAATAATCCCCCCCCCCCCGCATAATGGCTTCTACCCCATCCAGGAGAGCACAAAACAACTGCAGACTCTCCCTGTGCCTGAAGAAGGGGGTTTGTACCCAAAAGCTTGCACAGAACAATTTTTCCAACTATTTAGTTGGTCTAATAAAATATATCACTTCCCCCCAAACAACCTCATCTGCCTGTGTCCATAGACCAACATGGCTACAACCCCTGAAACTTAGGTAAGATGGACTCAAAGCCATACATGCATGCATGCCTGTAACAACTCAAAAAAAGGGGGAACAAGCAGCTGAGAAGCTGAAGCATGCTTTTTCCCCTCCCCACCTTCCCCTTGATTTCCCAAGGTCTGTAGGAGCATCCTAAGATCATGAGTAGTGACAGCCGTGCCCCGCAGACCTTTAGTAGAGCCCAACT